GAAAAAGAAATAGGTAAAATTTCTCTCTTTCTTGCTCTCTCTCAAGAAGAGAATTTAGTAGTCAATTCTCTTCTCAATTCTCTTCTCAAGAAGAGAATTAACCTGAGTGAATATACCACTTCCTGCTATAGAAAAAAGCGCCAGTCACACCCCATTTCACCAACCTACATGCTAGTGTGCAAAACTAAACGAAGTGTCTTCCTTTCTCGCTTCTGAGTTTGACCTTAAAAGACACAGAATTTTGATAGATTGGAAGTGGATAGAGTTTTCCTTTTACCTTGAGGTTCTCTGCCCCCACCCCACGCCTACCCAAAGAGCATCTTTTCAAAAGCGGAAAGAGTGCTGAAATACATCCATTAAGTCATCCGTATTTTCCCTGATTGATAACATGGCTTTGACTCCCTCAGAAACTGAAAACTGTCTAAGGAAATTGTTTTTGAATTACCATTAAAGTTAACTGATCAGCTAGATTTTGGCCAGGTATCTGACTCACTTTAACTGCAAGAGCAGTTTTTATAGAATTTATAAAATTTCACCATAGAATTTAAAACAGCATATTTGAAACTAACTGTGTTTGGGGGATAATCTCCAACAAGCTCAGAAACCACCAAACGGCTGATCTGTTCCTGATGGTCACCTCTTTTTCTCTCTGTCTCTGTCTCTGTCTCTGTCTCTCTGTCTCCCTCTATCTCTGTGTCTCTGTCTCTCTCCTCTCTCCCTCTGTCTCTCTCCTCTCATTGCTCCATTAGTAAACTTACTCCATAAAGCAAAGCAGATTACTGTCACAAAATAGATTCCTATCTTTTTGCATGGTAGGGCACAGGCATATTAGAAATACAAAGTTGTTCTCCTCTTCGTGTAGTCCTCACCTCACCAAAAGAAAATATGCCTGTTACTTACTCTCTGTGAGAGCATGGGTAAAAAGCAAGTTTGCAGAAAGGCTCATGGGGAGGCAAACTAGATCTTAATGAAGAAATACAAAATCTAGTCAGCATTTTGGCTGCAAGAGACTGATGCAAAATAATTTTCATTCTCAATGAAGGAACTATAACACATATAAATGAATATTATATTATATTTATATTCCTAAAGAATCATAAGCTATTGTGCTTATTATATGATGTCATGGTACACAGTTAAACTTGTACAGATTATAACAGAATTTTCATTTCAGGAATTACAAAAGATAATAGATAAAGTATTTTCCTTAATTCTCTGATTCATGTTTCCTACATAAGCTCCATTTACTAATTTCCTTGTAACACTGAATTTAAGTCAGTGTCTTAACACATGTGCATGTGAAGTTAGGTTGACTTTTCAGTTTTGTAAGCCGCTGTGCTATAAATTATGTCCTGGATCATCACAGACATATCTCACCTTCCGCCAGCATCTACTGCCACTCAGGGAATGCTTGATGAATTTAGTCACACTTGCACAATTCAGTACATTTATTTAGAGCTCAATTTTAACAGATTTTGAGATGTATGAAAGCACAAAATGAGCAAGAAAGATCTGCAAAACTCTCATGGTGGAATGTCTAAACACTTTTATGGCTAAAATAAATTTTAATTAAGCTTCCAACATGTTAATAACATGTATGTGTTAATAACATGTAATAACACATATTCTGTCATCTGTGTCACTCAGCTCCTAGGTTCTTGTCTATGTCAAGACAAGCTTTTGAAAGTAAGTAGGCAATATATATGCCTCAGATCTCCAAGATCAATTTTTTTCTATTCTCTGGTTCTAATTTGATCCCATACTAAATGATTGTCGATGTGGAGAACGCTATGAAAATTGGTCACTAAACTGGGGTCAAAAACCAATAAAAACGTGAAAAGCATTGAAGAAATAAAAAACCTAGTCCATTTCAAAATCTAATACCAGAATACTGCCACAGAGTGATCAATCATCTCATTAGAGTACTTTCTGGCATAGATTTTTGTCTGTTACGCAATGCCAGTGTGGCTAGGGGATTTTTTTAAAGTTAACTTATATATGAGGTTTTCTAATTGTCTTCTATAACATGGCCAGGAGACCTTTTATAAATAGAGAGCAATTAAGTAGAAATATATATACATCTTTTATTTCAGGGTAGTTTAAATCTTGCACAACTAAACAGGTTTACTTACAATATCTTAGCATATAACATTAGATCAATTTGGTATATTTTGAAGAAACACATTTTGGTTCTTCAACTAAAAAATATTTTTAAAAACATTTACCATACTTATTTTATTGAAAACTGTTCTTATTTGACAATATGTCACAATCTCGCCTATGACACAGGATAGTGTATAAATATATTGTTTGAAAAAATCGCACACACTTGCTAATTTCATATATTTCTACTTTCTATCCACTTGTTTCTTTCCAGGTGAGTTTCTAGGCCTGTGATGTTTTTAAACCTTAGAAATTCAGAAAGTCACAACTTATGAGTACAATTTCTTTTCCTGCTCAGATAAACTACTTGCATGGACATGCTAAGTATATATAAGGGAATTTAGTGGCCAAAAAACTCAGGAACAGACAGAATCTTCTAGAATGACACTATTCACTTTCTAACAATATGAAGAGCGTCTTTACAACATTTGTAAAATCTAACCTCAGCTATCAACAGAGGCTGAATCATTGTGAATTTTTATTTCTTCCCTGGTTTTCTTTCCCTAGACCAACAAAAGGCTGCCTGAAAAACAAAAGCTATGTGCTATTTATATAATTTGTCCTTCATCTCCTCTCCAAGCTGGTCCTAAAACAGTCGTTTATCTACTTGTACCATATATCCTCTGGGAAGGGATTTATTATGTAGTCACATTTCAGCCTTTTATGTCTTTCTGTATTTTTTGGTATAATGAAAAATTATGTTCTTTTGACAGCCATCTCCATTACCATTTGGAAATATGTCTCCTAATTTATTAATACAAATAAACCAATTTGCTGGGCAACAGCATGACATTACAGCTTTGAAGAAAAATTCGTACATCTATAATTAAATAAGCAGAAATCATTTACTTTATCAACTTAATGGACTGTGATGGCAGGAACTGCTTCAGCTGTGTGGCATGGGCCTCACCAGGGAGCACACAGTCGGGCAGACTTTTATTCCTTTATTCACTGAGCAAATATTCACTGGGCAATTTCCATATCTTGGATACTATATGAGGTACTGGAAGGAACAACCCAATTTTACTCATACCACTCAGGCCCACACTGCAGGTTTGTCTATCTGGCTATAACCAAGGGCCAGAGGAGAACTCCAGAGGGAAATAATTTTTGGTGTAAGATTATTTAAATGCACTTAAAACTTAGATAGTTTTTTCCCTATATTCCAAGAAATGACCAATGACTTGGCCAAATTCTATGGCAGAGAGAGATTTTATGGTAGTGTTTTAATATAGATTTTTTTTCTTATTTTTTCGAAAACCTGCAACCAAGGAAACCATCCTTAATTATACGAACACTCAGCAATTTTGTCTTCTAACTCAGCTCGACATGGTCATTTAAATTGATTACTCCTGACTGACCTACACTGGTGTACACATTAATCTGATAGATATATTCTTCATGTTAAAAATAATTCTTCCCACAAATGCGTACTAAGCACAAAGAAAAATGACATTGTTATAAGAAGTATAAATAAATCTTAAGCTGCAAAAAAAACTGAGGAAGCAATTAAATACACTATACATCCAAATATTCACAAGAAAATTTAACATGTTTACAAAGGGAATACACCAAGGCATACGACAAGTGTTTCATAGTGTCTTAGCTTAAAGGATTGCTGTCATTTGGGGACGGGGGTTAAGGAACAATTCCCAAACTTAGTACAGTTGTTTACCTGTACAGTGAGATGCTAAGCCTAGCTACTGGGGATTGTATTCATGTGGACCGTAAGAAAGACATGAACAATAAGTATTTACATAAAGCTACTTTCAGGGGAGGTCAGAGAAGGAGCCGTGAGAGGTCAATGTTATTAATTTTCTTAACCTATAAATAGACCAAGCTATGGAAAGACCTTATTGAACTTTCTGAATATTTATTTGTTTTAGAATTAGGATTGGTATTTAAAGACCCAAAAGCCTGGAGAATTTTTCTGGTGGAAAAAAAACGAGAGGAAGAATACTAAAATTTGGTGTCATATCAGTCCCTAAAATAGCATCCTGAAAAACTGCTTCTCTGACTCCCGTAGATCAGTCTTGTACGTCTTCTCCAGCGTTATAGGAATGCAAAATGGATCCAGAAGAAAGAACAGTTAGTTTGGAGCTTCCACAAACTCCACCACATTGGCCACAAATAGAACTGACTCTTCTGCAGATAAGACTTCTTTCCAGAAACCAACCCAGCCAAAAACCCAAACTTTGGGAGGAGCTAACTGAATATCCTGAGCAACGCTTAAATAGCATCACATTAATGAATGCTGTAGATACATTTTTCTCCACCTACACTGTGGTTTTAAAGCCCTAAGTGGGAAAAAGTGATAGAGAATGAAAGAGAACACAAAAGACCAACATTTCTTAACAAAAACAAACTGCTCTCCTCCCCTTGTCTTCAGTGATAAATGTGGTTAAACATCCCAAGCACTTAGTATATTGGAATATGAACTGTTCTTATCTTCCCAATAGGTCAAGATCATTTATAATAATGTTTTCATCACATAAATAATCACATATCCAGCTGCAAATCGCAGACACCCAGAAACACTAGACTGTTATTAATATATTTTTCTTTGTTTATGTTTCAGTACTTTTGGCACATAAGGGATTATCTATGGCTCTCGGACCATTTAGCTTTTATCAAAAATTCCATTTCCGCATATAAACAATGGCATGCCAGAGATGCCCAAGTTCACAAGGTTTGGAAATATTCTTTGTCAAAAGCTGTGAACATGCACGTTGGTTAAGTGTTCTCTTTCATGCCCCCGTCTGGATTATTTCATTAGATAGTGAGATGGGCTGGCCCTTCTGTCCATCATTAGAGCAGCTGGAGACAGCATTTGCTACCTGGCAAAACTTTCGAAGGAGGATCTTTCTTAGCAGCAGATAAACCCAGGGATCCAAAATCTGGTTCAGTGAAGCCAGACGAACCGCTATTAAGAAGAAGTGGCATTCTTTCTGCTTTTCAGTCTGCGTCTTGCAGTGCTCGACTGAGGTCTGATTGAAGATCATTCTCAACATCATTATCTAAGAAAAAAGCATAAATAATTTTCCAAAGATCAGTAAAGTCATATAAACTTCCTCTGCACAATACTCTGCAGATATTGAATTTTCAGTACGTTCGTTGCTGAATTGAGATGCTTAATTCAAACATTATTTACCATCACAGAAAACTGTCTTGAATTAAAGACATTCCTAAGGATTTTTGCACACTTTTTTTGTTGTTGGATATGGTATAACTTTTTAAAATAAGCACACATGTTCTCAGCTCTTGGTTCTTGGAATTTAAGAAGCTTGAAAATACCACATTTCGAAATTAGTGAAATCCATCTTGTTGCTAAAAGTACCAGTAGATTGAGATCCAAATGACAGTCAACAGTTCAACAATAATCAGAACATAGTTGAACTTAACCTTCAATATTTCTAACTAGAAGAAGTTACTAAAGAATAGCAGATTGGATAGGAGAAAGCAATTATAATGTCACTACTATTATTAGTATTTTCTGCATCTTTAATTTAGCAGTCACCGTTTCAAATTTTTTCATATATGTTTAAAAAACAATGCAAGATGGATGGTACTATTACATTCTTTTTACACTTTTACACTTTTTACACAAACCAAGAGTTACTGATATAAAATGACTAATTTAAACTCAAATCTAAGTTCACTCATACCACAAGACATAGAATTTCCCTGTTTTGTTTTTTTAGTCTCCTTGGACTAGAATATAAACTCCATGGCGGCATGGATTCAGAATATTATTTCCCCAATGCTGTATTCTCAGTGACTAGACAACTCTTTATTTAGGAGTTTGAGGCACTAAGTATTTGTGAATGAAAAAATATTTATATTTGAAGTAATCTATTATATATTATGAATATAGCACATGCAAATATATTTATATTTGTGCTAATAAATATTTATAAGCAAATGTGATTATTTTTTCTTCCACAAGAGAAAAAAATGAAGGTCTATATGGATATAAAAAGATGCTCAGAAGCATTCATCATCAGGAAGAAATAAAAATTATGATAAATGCAAAATAAGCCACATTACATTCATGAAGAGGACTGAGGTGGAGAAATGTGACTGGTCAAATGTCAGCGAGACTGAGGAGCCACGAGGACGGGGGCACTGTAATGCTGGGCATGCAAACCGAAGCAACTGGCTTATTATGCAGCTGGGAACTCTTTCATCCGCTTCCTCTCAGCACTGGGAGCCCTAGGAATGTGCTGGGTGGTCCTTCAGTACCAGGAGGGCATTTTCGACTATTCCTAATGGTGCCGTTGGGAACAGCAAACCCAAGAGTGGGAACACTCAGACATGAGTTCCTAGTCATAAGCAAAGAATCATCTCCTTCAATTCATAGTCATCTCCTTCCTTCACTTGGCTGAAAGAGCACTTGTCATGTGGAAGTTACACTATGCGTGACCACTGGTCCTGACATGGTGCTTGGTAAAACAAAGATTAACGTCCCTTGTTTCTTTCTGCTTTTCTTGAAGGGTACCTGGAGAGAACTAGCCTAAATATGTGTCTATGACAGACGCCTACAGTACATTTCTAGGGAACTCGACCTCTCCCTTGTGCTCACCCCCTTTTGTGGCCAACTTACCCACTTATTCCAAACTGAATCCAACATTCTCAGCACCTCCAGCCACACACAATCGACACACACACCCCTGGCACAACCGATCAAAGTCCCTGTTAAAGTGTTCCTCTGCCTTCTCCTTGGCACTGCCTTTTGGTCTAGTTGCATTCTCCCTGCATTCAGAACCTCTTTTATATTTGAATTAGAGCAGGGATGGATGTCCAGATGGTGCATGCTATATGGAATGAGTGCTGGTGCTTTCTCAGAATTTGTAGCTCAAAGACCTAATCTTTCATCCAATGGCTTTAGGTATGGGGCTCACAGGCAGTGACTAGGCTTTGATGAAGTCATGAGGATAGGAACATGGTGACAGGTTTAGGGCCCTATCAAAAGACAGAGAAAATACCAGAGCTTCATCCCTCTGTCCTGTGTGGGTCCAGCCAGAACACAGCTGCCTGTGGTGAAGAACAGGACTTCCATTGGCAGCCACCCCAGCCAGTTTCTCGACCTCAGACATCAGGACAGAAAGAAACAAATGTTTGAACTCCCCAGCCTGTGCTATTCCTCTTTTGCAGAAATGTAAACAGACTAAGACAAGACATATAGAGGTTATCCCATCACAGATTCAGCACCCTAAATCCAAACTCTGATCAAATCATCCCCACTAAAAGAGTATCAAGGGGTTGGGGATATAGTTCAGAGGCACAGTGCCTATCTGGCAAGCACAAGGTCTGCAGGTTGACTCCCAGTAACAAAGGGAAAAAATTTTTAAAAAGCATCTTTCCATGGTCTACCAAATAAAATTTTAACTTTGCTTCTTAAGGGTTTTAACATTCTACTTCAACCATGTCTTATCTCCTGCTAACTAGCTACATGGACTAAATTCCAGCTGTGTCTCACTGATCTAAAATATTCCCGTGCTCTTTCCTAATTCTTGACCTTTACTTCTGTTCTCTACCTTTGGAATCCTTCAACTCTAGTATCCATTTCTACTCTAGAGGATTCTCTGCCTTTCAAGACCATATCAGTCTTTTCAGTCATCTGTAAAATGATGATTTTAACAGGCAGCAACATAATGTTCTTGAAAAACAAGGAATGAAGGGAAAACTGGTGGGTACCTAAGAAGGGACGCAACACCACTTACTAGCCCAAAGGTTAGTGAGCTTGTCTAGAAGCAAAGAGTAAAGTCCTCATACATCTATTTGATCTGGGAAGAAGAGTACTGAACCACTGGATTTGATCAATTTGTACTCTTCTTGGGAAAATGGGCCCTATTGTGAGATTTAAAACACAGTTAGCTATGTTAGCTTGATGCCAGTAAGAGGTGACTCTTTGAATTCCCCATGTCCTGAGTCTTTTTCCATCCAGTTCATAACCATTGGTGTCAGTACTGATAAATCAACAGGAAAAGAGAGCTGCCAATTATACTTACATAATCTCAGTTTTATCTTGAAAATGCAAGTGTAGAACAAAGATGGAGGTAGATAGGTGTAACATAATGCTCTACTTCTGGCCCCCCAAAGACTTATACACATCCATTTATACAAAAAGCATTTTAGTCCAAATCTAAGAGTTGTTACAGCAGTAGAATGTCATGGTTTGGGTCTAGATGTTCCCCCACCCCCAAGCCTCATGCAGTCATGGGGGCAAGCTTCTAGAATTTGTGACTGACTCATGGTCTAATGCTAAGATTATTGGTGTGAGTGCTACACCTACCCTAGGTGAGGAGCCCACATATGGGACAGAAAGAGTCACTCTCTTTCTCTGTCTTCTCCTTTTGTCTTGTTGGTGTAGTCGTCTTTTGCTGCCATAAACTGCCACCATGCCTTGGAGCCAGTGGATGGATTACAGATTGAAAGCTGCACAGTGAACTAAATAAACCTTTCCTTCCTTCAGTTTGGGTGTCAGGTATTTTGTCTTAGCAATGAGAGAAAACTAACAAAGAGAGCAGCTAATTAGACAGAAAAAAAAGTCAGAATTCTTACAAGGTTATACGTAGATACTGGCTTTCAGTCATTTTGCTTTTGTCTCATTGAATCACAGATAACTCTTATACGGGACACTGAAAGGGAATGAGAACTTCCAGACTTGGCTTATAAAACAACTTCATGCTCTCGGGTATGACCCATGGCCCTTGATCAGATACCCCCTGTACATTCAGATGAAATTATTGTCCTTATTAACAATGAGAGGAATCATAGGCAACCAGTTGATAGTCACATATTCTTATTCTAATTTTATTAATAGTTATTTCAAGAAATGTTTATTCAACAAAGCCATGCTAATTTTTAGAGGCATTATCTATCCTAGTAAAAAACCTATAAACACATACATCTCTAGCACCTGATGTAAAGCTTAATAAACATACAACAGATTCATGTAATACTGCATTTAAGAATTAAAGAACAATATAAGATAAATTATAAATTTTTATGACTATTATAATTATATAAAGCGTGCAGACTTGTGGTGTAATGAAATAATTTTTATTCCACAATAATTTGACCGAATTAATTTAAAATTAATTTAAAGTTTTTATACACTCAAGAGTATTTCTTTTTTTTTTTTTTTTTTTTTAATTTTTATTTAAGGAGAAAAGAAAAGAAAAAAAAACAGTGAAGGGTACAAGTTATACAGATTTACAGAAGAAAAAAATGCGCAGTAGGAAATCACTAGTTAATAGATTACATATTGCCATCTTAGAAATAATTGTTCAAGTCACAGAATTAAAGTTTGTAGAGTGGACATTCCAGCAATGATACTGCAAACAGTTCTGTTCAATGATCCATTAGAACTCTGTGATATCATTTTCTGTCTTATACATTTAAATATACATGCAGTTATATAGTTTAGAGCATTTTCTTTTCCTCTCTTTTGTACAGTGACTATTACACATTTTGGGTTTCATTGCTCCCACTGTTCTTATTGCTTTTTTGGAAGAGAGTAAAACCAAATGTGACATAACAGAACAGAATCGGTCAAGTCAAAAGGGTGGATATAATAGATAATATAAAAACATAATACAAGGTGATCAACAATGGTTACCCTAATGCCTCCCGCTATTTCTAATAGAATTGCCTATATCATTAGTTGTAATACTATTGAACAAAACCATAAAGGATAAAACCGACAAAACCAAAACATTGGAGATATTGTAGGTCTTCAAAAGTAGATAGAAGTCAACGAGAATGGGCGTTATAATGAATCTCATTATCTTCTCAGCTGATGCCTAAACTTTCGAACCTGATACTATTCAGCAAAACAGAATAGAGGAACCTCAGTCAAAAACAAGATGGTGAGAGTAATACAGGGCTTCAAATCGAGAAAATAGAAAGTCAAAGTGGGTTACTATATTATATCCTGCTATATTTTTCCCTTTAATTAAATGGATAACAATAAAAAAGTATATAATGGAGTGGAGATTGAGAAAAAGAAAAA